ATGCAACTCTGGTTTTATTGGTCTAAAAATTTTTATTATGATCTAATTTTCAGCAGCTCAGAATCTGCTGTTGTTGTTTGCCACTAATAGTTAACAATCACTTTGCTGTAAAACTTTTCTTCCACTCTTTTTTTCTTTACGGAGCTGACTAAATATCTGTAGAACACTGTCATTTCTTCCTACACTTTTAAAAGACAGATTTCAACAATATTGTACTTGTATAGATTACATCATGTTTTTCAAATTCCGTGATTCCTGTCTGCCTTTCCGCATCCACATACTTCTTATAACAAAAATGCTGTAGAGGTTTAATGTTTAATATTTGTCGGTACACCACTTTTAAATTTTCATTTAAATCCCCAATCTAGATAAGTCAATTTTTCTTAAATTAAGTGCATTTGGTCTTGAATTGAGGATGTAAGTGAGACACTTTGCCAATGGAACAAGACAATTTAAATTTAAAATAAGAAAAATAAGAATTTCAAGCGCATATTATCTAATTATCTTATTTTAAGAGTAAAAATGCCCATTCCATTGGCAGATCATCTTATTTACCTACTCAAATTAAAGGTAAATACACTTAATTTAAGAGATTTTTACTTATTTTTAGATTGTTTTTGCAGTGAAGTGGGATCTGCTTCTCTGGAAAAAAAAATAAATAAATAACAGTCATCATCATGCTTAGTACATTAACTTAGCTTCAACAATTTTCTTCCCTTATTCTTCCCCATTCTTCAGACTGCAGACCTTATGTGCAAGATAAGCTAAGTGCTCAAATTGCATGCAAACACTTTTTTTCCCCACCCTGCATCTATGAACTAGTAGCTGAAGACAAATATCTCCCTTGACATGATTTTTCCAAATCCGGTGCCTTTAAGTGCAGGTGGAATAATGCTGCGTTAGCGGCTAATGGCCGTCCAAGAGGTCATAACTGCTCCATTTGAAAAGGGGAGGCTGTTCAAATCAAATGTAATTGCACGGTGAAAAGCAGAATGGCTAAGCCTTGCGTGTTTGGCTTAGCTGACAACATCCAGGTTTAGCATTTGCTTCCCCTGCTGGGAGGAACATAGCTTTGCAAGGACAAAGGCTTCACCTGTCAATATATCACATACTGGCCTGCAAGAAGGCTCTCCCTCCCTCTCTTTCTTTCTTTCTTTCTTTCTTTCTTTCTTTCTTTCTTCCTTTCACTTATTCTGTTAAAGCCTCCACCACCCTAGACTAAGCCTCACCCATCCATCCATCTTCAATCATCTACCTCTCATTCCTTTCATTCTTCCGGTCCTCTCTCTCTCCCTCCCTGCCTATCTTCCTTTCCTACAGCTCTCTCTGAATTTGCTCAGTGTAAACGTCCTGAGGGAACCAGTTTCAAACACAGGAACCAGAAACATATGGCACATTTTCAACTCCCAAGGTCAATTACAGCTATTTATCCAGAGATTGCAGCTAAATTTCCCAAGGTTTCTTCTAGATTTACAACAGATTGCAATGTGTGTCTGTCACATTTTCGAATCAGGCCACTTCCCTCCACTCCCTGTGACTTTTCTGTCAAACATTTCAAAGGCTTTCGAGTGTTTTTTTTTCTTTCTTACATCTCTTATCTCTGGTTATCATCCTCTCTTCCGTTTATTTTATTTTTTTCTCTTCTAAGGTCCAAATGCCGCTTGCAACGCAAATCTAATAACATGTAAATTGGAGATAAGCCGTGATCCCTCCAAGTGATTTTTTTTTTCACATTCATACTTTGTCAAGCCAATTCTTGGGCTCCTGTTTTAGTAGCATAACACATGAGGAGTGAGAAAATTAACTGGATAGGTGATTCATCATTGCTACCACACTGTCAAGGACTCCCTCTGCAGCTATTGAGAGCACCGGTGGAGGCGGCGGACGGAGTGTTGAGGGGAGGGGTGCTGCTGTTGTTTTTAAATTATGGCATTTCATTCAGAATGCATTGTATTTACAACGGCCCATTTTTATTTGTGGCTCCTATTATCCATGGAAACAGTTGTGCATGAATTGTTATTTCTGACAGGGGTGACCTGTGAGTTTTTTTTTTTTTTATTATATATATATATATATAAATACTGTATATATATATATATGCAGTATTTCATATTTGGAGGGGTTCTAACTGTAACTTTAACGTACGGTAAGCACCATAGGCTTTCACATCATCTGCTGGCAGTCTAGTCGGCATAGAAATATCACCTGGAAACAGAGCGCTCCACTCTACTCCACTGGCCCCCATCACTCCCAACGCCTGTCGCTGTAATTAAGTTGAAGTCAATGATGGCGAAGTGATGCTGTGAAGTAAACATGCAAACACATGCCAAGGTTTGCAACCAGGCAGAGGGAGGAAAATAAAGAGGACCTACAGGGATTGGTTGATGCTGGGTTCTCACTGTATGATAACAGTGAGTAAAAATATAATGGTTTCATAATTTTATGGTTATTAAAATCATTCCTTAAAGGGCTCGTAGATATGTGAATTTATATACTTCATAATAGGCATATGTTGATTTTTATCAAAGAAAAACCTGCAGCATTACACTACATATTTCAGTAAGTTCATAGAGAAGAAAATGCAGTATTTGTCTTTAATTCTTAAAAACCTTCAACATCAATATAACAAAAAATACGTTGCTGTCAATTAATAATTTTTTCAAAGCAAAGACCATTACAATAAACAACTTTGGAATTTAAAAGCAGTTTTCAGGAAAATTAGCCTTATTGTGGAGAATATTACAACTTTAGAATTTCTGATATTCCTGATTCTATGGTAGCCTGCACTGAGCTTCTACACAGCTTAGTCATGTGTAATTTTAATACATTAGCTTAAAATGAGTTTACTCTGGCAAAAAAAAACAAAAAAAAACAGTAGGAAAAGTTTTGTAAATGTCAGCAGTTTTGAAACCTTGATTTTTTTTTTAGATGCTGGTACCTTAAAAGTGTTAAAATACTGTTTGCAGGGCCTGGCTACAGTTTGTAGGGTGCAGCATTATTTGACTTGCCTTGAAACTGCAGGTCCGGATCTTGTTTTGTTGTAATTTACATTTAGTTCCATTAAGAGCTTTCTGATTGCATTGATTAAATTAGCCACCTATTAGCTCTGTATTTCTTTCCTTTACCAAACGCCACTACTTATGCATCGCTCCTGGTGGAAATGTTATCTGACAAGAGGTGCTGCACGGTGGCTGGGAGTCTGTTGAACACAACTCTCTGTTTGCTTTTCCCAGAGCATGACAGGTTGTTTCCCCCTGCAACAAAGCCATCAAATATTCCCTGTGATCCAACATTGTGTTGGGAGGCGAGGCCTGCTGAGTGGGAAGCCGGAGTTTGTTAAAGCAATGATTTATGATTAATGCCAACACTAAATAAGGGACAAAGTGCCTACAGTACAAATCAATTACAAAGCCAGAACTGCAAACCTTTCCCTAAGGTCTACTAACGTCTCTAGTTGTTATGGTGATTTCATTGGAGGTGGGTGATGCATGCATATATATAATGCACACGGTACGTCTATATCAACCTGAGCTGGAGCCAGCCGTAATGCTTTTGATCTTTGATTAGATACTTTTATCAGAAAAAATGGGTCTTTCATGTAGCTCCACTGTGCAGGTAGAGTGCATTTCACATCTCCGAAAATCAACGCCCACCACAGAAAAGCAAAAACAGGACTGCTGCAGACGAAATAAATTACCACAGGAGAGGCTTCTTAAAAGTAGGCAATTCATTATTTTTATGAAGTCAAATTATAAACAAATTTTAATCCATTAGGCAACCATCCATTCTAATTAATCAACAGTAGTGAACTTCATCTGAAAAAGGAGAAAGGTTGTTTGCTCTCTCCACGGACCAGCGGTGCGTATTTTACCAACTTCCCCATTCAGAGAGAGGGGGAGAGAGAGAGAGAAAAAAGTGTTCTCCAAATTACAAACCTAAACTGTGAATCTGAGCACTCGACTTTTGGCGCCGGGATGTTTCCAAGGCATTTGCAGATGCTTGAAATAATCTCCAATGTTTTTGCTCAATCTGCTCTGAGGATGGATGAAATAAATACTTTAAACTAATTAATGTAAGACCAGCTGTTCCCAGCACTTGGCTGGCGCTGGTGAATATTGATGGGAGGAGGGAGAGAGAGAAGCGGCGGGGGCTGTTCAGCTTCACTCGCCTGTTTGTACAAGATTCAGGCTGCCACATAAACAGATATGAATACTGGATGAGAGCAAAAACCTCCAGATTTTTCACCTAATATCACCCCCCCTAAACTTGCATTGAATTAGCATTTGAAGAATTAATAGTACACACTTGCCCGTGTTCATAATCTGTCTTTCACCAGGATGGTAGCACTTACAAGCTCTTGGCTTCATAAAAGCTCACCAGACGAAAACATGTGTCAGATCTGATGTGTCAGTGTCTGACATACTGTTTTAGTTTAGGCAAGCTGTACATGTGCCTGCTCTGCCTCCTGCTTTCCTTCCCTCCCTCCCTCCTCTGCTCCAGTTCCTCTCTTCTGCGGCCCGATAGTAAGGCTGGACAGCAGATGGCAGGGCTCTACCCCTCGCCAGTGATGAATGGAGAATGATGTCATCTTAGGTTTGACAGGCACCCGAGCGTGCACGCACAAAGCAAAACCAAGTCTCTGGGGTCAAACTGCCGGCACTGTTCCCTCATTCTTGGAATCGGCATGACAACTCTTAGAGTACATAGGGCTAGCTGGATTTATGTCTTGTTTCCTGTTGTTTAACCCCTTAGGCAAAAGGGCTTAGGAAGAATCAGCACAACAGAATCTCCAGGAGAACTATCAGTTCATTGTTCTTTTTATATATAGTTTGCATAGAGATCAACATTTGATTAGCCCCTGGAGAACACCACATTCCGATTTGTCTATACTTTCCAGTCAGACCAAATGAGACCCACACACTGTACCAACTTTTCCTATTCCTTACCTGCGAAAATGATAAAAAAAAATTCTGAATGTTTGATCTAACTTTCCTTTGCAGAGGACAACTCCATGTGCACCCCAACCGCTAGAGACAGCTATGAGAGGTTGTCATTGGCTGGACAGACTCTGCCTCCAGGTTTCCCATCACCATTTCTCTTCCCAGATGGCCTGTCATCAATAGAGACTCTTCTCACCAACATACAGGTACTGCATGAGTTACACCTCATTGGAGCTTTAGCATCTTGTCCAAGTTTCAGTCGTTTCAAATTTCTCCTTTCACAACGATAGCATGCTATATTACTTGTTATCTTTTAAAATGATCTAAAGGAAAACATAAATGAAATGCAACAACTAAGGAAATACACAATAACTGAAATTATTATTCAGAACAAGCAAATGAACTGCCAAAGTATATGCAAAAAAGGACCATAGTATCCACATCAAATACAGACATACTTTTATAAGGTAAGTTTTATGGATGACTGAACTTTGCTCCTGATCTGTTAAAATAACCCTAAACTTTCCAGAGGTTAAGAATTCCAAGAATTTTAAGACCTTATGTTCTTTTTAGCTGGGAACCAGAGATTCTATATTTCCCTTATTCTGTTTGTATTTGCATATAAAAACACATAGATAAGAAGTGGGCAGATAGAGGGCCCAAGCAGAGAGCTGTATATAAGACCCAATGGGAATTAATTGCAATATGGTAGCATATTACAGAAAATAATCATGATTTCCACAACTATCTAAAATATTCAAAATAAAACAGCCACTGCCAAGGTACTGACCAGTTGCATTCTTACACAATAGATAATAGACCATTATCCAGCAAAGTCAAAACTAAACCTTTACAGGTATTTCCTTACCTGAAGTAAAATAAAAAAAAATATCTGGGTTTTAACTTGAAAACATCTCAAAAATAGAATATGTTGATAGTGTGTAGATACTTTTTCTATGTTTAACAATGGAAGTTGTGTTAAACCAAACTGGAACATCTGGCCAAATGAAGATGCTTGAGGTTTTCAATTTCTCTTGAGGATTAAGATGGATATGTTGTTTGCATGAAAATGGAATATAGTATTTAAAAAAATTGTCAAAAAGACTGACTATAAAAAAAAATCATAAAATTATTTAGATAAACCCACAGCTAACTAACACAGAGCTCTCAAGAACTCCTGTGTTGAAAAAAACAACAGAGTGCCATAAATGTAGTATGATTGAGCTGGCAAATTATCTGACACAGAAAAACTTAAATATACAAAAAAAGTTATTCTAGATGTTCTTTTCTTAATTTACAACTTCTGTCAGTATTGTTCATATTGACAAACATCCATTTTATGAGTTAGAAATCCTACTGCTGGACTCACATAAAGCAAACTCTCATAATTAAAGGTATAGTGGAGGATTTTCACAAATCTTTGAAAAGACCCACCCTCACCACACAAAAAAATGCACATGCACAACCCTGTACCTGCTCTAGAGAGGAAACACCTATTAAACGCGTGTGAGAGCGTGCACAAGCCCATTTCTCCTCGTGCACGCTCTGTTTAAAAGTTGCTGTTTGCATCGCTCATGTAAGCTTACTTTCCAAAAGAAGATTTGCAATTTTTCCACTATGTGAGACTCAGCACTGGTAAGTGGAAATGTTAGGACAACCTTAGGTAAACATATCACCAGAATGATTGACAATTAGGAGCACCACTTATGTAGATGATCCATCTGGAAAAAGAACATCCTCCACTACACCTTTAAGATTTGTGGAAAAGGTAAGAACATGACTGCTATTAAAATCAAGTATATAGATGCAAACAAAGGGGTCGAAAGCAGTAAATGTTTTGTTTGTTTTTATCGTGTTGATATGTATATAAATGTTTACTGCGAGGATCATTATATTAGGCAAAATAAAGTCTTGGGTTTTGATACCATTCAAGAGAAAGTACAAATTACCCACTGGAGTATAAAAACCTACAGTGATTCTGCCAGATACATCAGTCCAAACGTTTGTCCAAAATTTAAGGCTTTGACTCATGTTGTTATCATGCTTGTGTAAAAGCAAATTCTGCCTTGAAATGTCATTAACATCTTCCTACAATTTCATTCAGCACACAGGGAGCAGAGATCCACTCACACTTGGAGTGCTGTTTAGGCTTTAGCTCAAAGCCCCTCAATCAGAAAGATGAATGCATTTGCCGTCTCTCTGGGTGTAATGATGTGTGTACCCCGCTGCCCTTCTCGTTGCACTTCTTCTGTTGGCATCAGGGTCCTGCTTCTCCTTTGGCTCCGCGCAGTAATTAGAGAGTCACAACTGAGCCCGTCGTGAGCTCCCAACACTCCTCTTAGTCATCTTTGATAATGATCCTCGCAGTGAATATTTATATACAAATCAACACAATGAAACCAAGCAGAAAATTAAGATAAAGCAACTTAGTAAAATTGGGGTTAGAAGAATCAACAATTAGTACGCTATAGTCCAGTGCATCTGATGTCATTGCATGGGGATGGGGAGTAATTGTGATGAAACTGGTCATGTTACTCTTAAAGGAGTAGTACAAACAAATTTTTATCTGCAGCAGAGAGCAATCAGAGGGATGTTAATTTGAAGAATGTGGCTGATATCTGTGAGAGGCCCGAGATAACAGTTGGCTAAATTGGGACCATGATGGCGCAAATGAACAATTTTTAACAGATAACTAAACGGCTGTATTTTTAACTTACTGTGTAATTGATAGTTTAAAAGTTTATGAATAAACCATATAAATGAGCTACCATGAAGGGGGATTTTTAAATTTGTTTTCTGGATATTTTAGGCTGTCTAGTCATTGTAATTTTTTAAATTTGTTTGTTTTATTTATATAGCTCCATTTCATGATAGAGTAGGCACTTTACTCATTTCCTTTTTACACCCCCCAAAGCAGCTAAACTATAGAAGGTGAAACATGCTATGCCCATTTACTTAACAGTAACATCTTAAAAAAAAAAAATAAATAAATAGAGATCAAATGAAATCTTAATTAGATATGCTTTTTATTTTTCATCTTTTCAATCTTATTTTCACTTTTTATGTAAATTGATGGTAGTTTTATTTCCTTTCCATGATATTTACTCAGATAAAGTTGTTGCTGTTGGCTTAAAATGTACTTTTAATTCCACCTACTGTATGATTCCTGCAGGGTCTAAGTTAAAAATTATAACTCATCTAAATTTTAGCTTTTAGCATGTTAAATATTATCACATTTTCAATTAAGGTGTGCTTCTGTTTTTTTGCTGTTGTTGTTGTTTTTATCATATATTATGTTTTTGTTTAGTTTGCTTTACTTCTGAGTAATAAGTAATTTCCAAATGTGTTGTAGTTGGATCAGGAATTAAGACTCGATCATTTTCTGAAAAATTTACAAAGGATTCAGGCTAGCGCACATCCCTGTCAGGGAGGGAGGCTGTTTTCTAATTTCACACTTATATCAGATTGTCCGATTCTGCACCAAGCAATACAACCAGGTGTCCCCTGCTTTCTCCAAACTCTTTTAAAAAACTCAAATGTGACTTTATTACCAGATTTCAGACTCAAGTCAACCTTCCTTCCAAATCTTCTCTGAAAAAGATTGTAATAACCTGGCAAGGCCGATATATAATGCAAATTATTAATCTGTGAAGGCTTTGATCAAATCTGTTCAAAATGCAAAGGAGCGAAATTTAGCAGAATCTTCTGGGCTGATTGTGCTAAGTGACTCCCTACTGCCTGCCTACCAAAGATTAGTTATAACCAATCACACTAAAAAATACAAAAGCAGCAAATGCCATGAGAAACATAAATAAGATCTGCTTTTTTAGCTCTTGCTGTTCGTCTTTCAAAGATAGATGTAATAGCAGCAGCTCCATGTACGTCCTCCATGTTTATTTTGGTTTGGCTGTTGGTTCAGCAGCTCTTGCTCTCATCGCAGCTATATGTCCCGTCTTAAACCATGTTGTTGTACAGTAATGTAATTGGCTAAGCTGTTTTGGGTCTGTTGAATTGGGAGCGAGACAAGGTGTATTCTACTGGTAGAATTCAGCTTGCTTGCAATGTTAGGGTTGTAGTTGTTGGTTATAATTAAAATCCAAAGGCTGTTACCTTAATTGCTACCCCCAACTTGTCATGGCAGAGTTTATATTTAACAAAGTATAGACTCACAATGAGATTCAAAGTGCTGGATAAAACCAGTAGTCACTCACTGTTCTGTTAAAAACCTTACTGTATAAAAGCACCATGCTCACATGCATAAATATTGGATGATCGATTTTCATACTAATTCCTTATGATTTATTCATATAATCAAAGATCGATTTTTTTAAAAACCTCCTTATAGCCACTAACTACCATTACTTTATGAATTTGCTGTTGAATTTTAATATAATACTTGTATGATGCATAGCTACACATTGATGTAATTCAGGTAACGGCCAAAAAATTATTTTAATACAAGCGATCCAATTTCAGATCAAAGAAAAAGACAGTTGAATCATACCCAGCCCTATGCAGGACCCAAATAATACAAACCTACATTTAGATATTTTTGAGTTTTTAAGAACGTTAAATCTTGTTTTTTGAGTGCGTAAGTAATTTATTTAAGTATAATCTAGTCTTTAAACTTGAGTTATAATATTCCTTAAAAGAGTTATACCTAACTTTATAAAAAGTTGAAGGAAACCTTTGAGTAGTCGCTACCCTGACTAATTATTAGTTTTACTACCATACAATATATGTTCATTGACAGGGTTAAGTATTTATCATTTAAAATTTTGATATAACATAGTTTAATTTGCTTTACATAGAAAAAAAACATAAATGGATGTTGATATAAAACTTATTTTCAAATATGTGGGTGAAATGATTTAAGAATTCCTTTATGACACTTGGCCTTTTTTTCTATTATGATATTTATTTCTTTAAAGCATTTTCTTCAATGAATTACTTTTGTGTAACATATATTCTCAGATTTTCCAAACTGAGATCATTCAGTCAAAATGATCACCCGATTACCTGTAGATACTCAACAGAACCCCACTTCAAAATCTAAGCGGCTGAAAAGAGTAGGGTTTCAATGTTAGTTGACAATTTGTTGTCTGTTTATAACAATCCTTTCTGTGTAAATTGCTTTAAATGGTAGGTTTCAGGGGAGATTAAACATAAGTAGTTTAACACTTTTTATTTATTTTTTTTTTTACAAAAAAAGTCTTTAATTCCCCTGCTGACAGTTCTTAGTGAAGTATAATTTATATAATTTCTTTTTTAGGTCCCTTTCAAGCACCTTGCAAAAGAATTGAAGGCTTCTTTTTTATCCAGTACAGTCAAAACTTCAGCAGTTTCAATCAGGGTTTCTTGTGATAGAGCAACATAAAGCAGTACAATTAAAGTAAAATCAAATGGTTTATAGTTTGCATCTGCATTGTTTGTCATTTTTAGAACCACTGCCCATTGAACTTACAGCTGCAATTCTTTTGGGTAAAGTTTCAACCAAAACTGGCTGAACCTTTAACCTGTTCTTCTTTGTTAAAAGGATCAAACTTATATAAGATGGAAAAATTCTGCGATCATCAACTTTATACCTTTAAAAGTCATGTTTTATGGTCCTTCTACTTCTTAGCGGTGTATTGTTTTCTGCTGAACTACCACAAAAATAAAAAAGTCACATTAAGCTTTGGTCACACTGGCAATTGTTTGCTTCCACCAAAGGGCGTCAGATGTATCCAATCACTTTTGTATTAGTTATATTTAAAGAAATCCAGTGAGCATTGCAGAATAAATTTTTTAGATCTGCATTAGTGCTCCTATAGATAAAGAAAAAACTGCCAGTTTAAAACGCTCCCAATGGAAGCACAAAACATTGGTCAGGTCTTGGTCCTGCTTCACTAAAGTAGCTCTGATTTATATGCATATCTGTTTTTTTTTTTTGTCTTGTTTTTTTTTTTTGGTACTTGCAGGGCCTCCTCAAAGTGGCGATTGACAATGCTCGGGCTCAGGAGAAGCAGGTGCAGCTGGAGAAGACGGAGCTGAAGATGGAGCTGTTTAGAGAGAGGGAGCTCAGGGAGACACTGGAGAAGCAGCTCGCCATGGAGCAGAAGAATAGAGGTACCACCTTACATGCTATCCTCCCTGTTAGCTGCATGTGTGTGGGGGTGCGGGTGTGTACGTGGGGGGCAGACATGCGTAACCCCGTGAGCTCCCATTCAGACTTCTGTGCTCATTTAGATACAGTAGCTCCTGAATGTACTTACACGATCTTTTGTGTTGCTGAGACACACATAAGCCACTCTGAGCCAGTTGGGTTACACATGAAAGTGATAGGTTTTTCTGTTCCTAGTCTGTTAACATAATTGAAAATACACATCCCATCCAGACTCGCACTAACCCTCATGTAAAATGCATCAGAGTCGTACGCTAACCGGATCGTTTATGTTTAATGAGAGAAATTCATGAAAAATATCCCAATAAATTTTTCAATTAGCTTCAATTCCCTCTAGCGAGTCAGTATTTGCTCCGAGTTTCTCATTTAAATCTTTATATATTATAAAATATTTAAGTTTAATTGATTTTCACGTTTCTATAATTGTGCGCTAGATTTAAAAGACAAAGAAAGGGAAAAAAAAACTGGCTATTATCTTTGTCAGACAGAATATGGGCTAAAAAGAAAATCAAACTTCCATTAAAAAGAAATTATACTTCACTTAATTTACTTCCAGAACTCATTTATTGTCTTTCTGATTTTTTTTCTTCCCAGCAATCATCCAGAAGCGTCTGAAGAAGGAGAAGAAGGCCAAGAGGAAACTGCAAGAGGCTCTGGAGTACGAATCCAAAAGGAGGGAGCAGGTGGAGCAGACTCTGAAGCAGCCATCGCCCTCAGACAGCATGCGCTCCCTCAACGGTCAGAACGCCCAAACAATCATATCCAATCGTCTCCTCTATGTCCACATAATACTGATGTTTGTGCAGCGCCTTGCAAAGTATTCATACGCCTTGATTTTCTTCACATTTTCTTATTTCATTCTCTCATTGAGTTTTATTGGGTTTTTATTTGACAAACACAAATAAGCACAGAATTGTCAAACTTAGTTCTCCCAAATCTTTTTTTCTAGAGTTTCTCAGTTTTTTGTTCCATAATATTTTTGTAACTTTTAAAGAAAAGCCTCTCCACAGTATGATGCTGCCACTACCATACATCTCTATTAGTAGGAAAATCAGGATCACATGTATTGTTACTTTGGATTCACACACAGTGTTTAAGTTTGCTTAACAGTTAAGCTTTGACCTTATTAGACCAAAGCACCTTATTGGGTGTGTTTTAAAAGCTCTCTACCCTGCTGATGATTCTCAGGGTTTCTTCTTACTGCTGTTCCATCACAGCCTGATTAGTTTAGTGCATGACTAAAAGTTACTTTAATCTATTTAACCAAGAAAGTCTCATGCACATTACATATTATAACACAAAGCAAATTTAAGGCTAAAGATTTGAATTCAAACCCCAACTAAAACAATCACACAGTATTGGTAAAGCTGTTTATAAAAGGGATTGCAATGAATTAATGTATATTAATGAAGCGTTCCCCACATACTAGGATTGCACATTTGTAAAGCAGCTTTTTTCTGGCGGATTCTTCCACCTGAGCTGTGGATTCCTACAGCTCCTCCAGAGCTTCCATGAACTCCTTCCCTGTCTGGTTAATGGCCTCCTGTCACAGTTGGTCCACAGTTTTCATTTTTACATGATAGAGTTACCATTGCTGTGGGAAATGTTGAAACCTTGGGAAAGTGCTTTATAACCTAACTCTGTGTTGAACGCTGCCCCCTGCTGTCCCCCTGACATGTGCGCTGTGTTCCTCAGTCTTCTCAAAAATAGTTGTTTCCTGATGTTCTCTTAAAAAACCTTTGAAGTATTCACAGAAAAGCTGCATTTATACAGACAATAAATGACCTACAATTGCAGGTTATCTGCAAACCAGGTTACTTCTGACTTTTGAATTAAGAGTATTTGTGTTTTATTTATAGGTGCCAGATTACTGGAGGCTAAATACGAATGCATGCCACACTTTTCAGATTGATATTAGTGAATACATTTCTATTCCACTTAACTATGATATTCATCTTTATTTTAGACAGACACATAAATCCCAATAAAGTGCATTAAATTAGTATTTTGCATTTAGTATTATGCAGCCAGAAGTTCAGTGCATTGGAATATTTTTGCAAGGCACTGTATTAAAATAGGGGAATGTTGTCGCTTTCCTTCATCATCACCTCCTATAATTTGAGTCCCACCTCATTTTGTGAAACTAAATGTGTTTCGATCATGATTTATTCTTCTGATCATGTTCTTAATTGATTTATTGTTTAGCATTAATCTTCTAGTCTTTTAGACCTGTTATAACACCCAAAGTGACATCATTGCATCTGTTTATTTGTCAAGAAAAATCGTCAATACAATAATTTTAAAAAGCTAGATCAACTAAATATGCACTGAGAAAGACTTGATGGACAGATAAGATAATTGATTGAAGGGGAAATTTATAGTTCAAGTGTTCAGCACTTATATTTACTGGCACTCCTTTAAAAATTATGTTTAAAAATGCTTGAAACTATATATTTAAAGGGATTTTATTGATCTGATCATCATTCTCTCTGTGCTTGGTGACAGTTTGAAAATAATATTTTATTGTGGTCCTTGTTGCAGGATGGCAGCAGCAAAATATGAGTAACCAAATGACTGATAAGATGCAGACACTGCAAGCCAATAACGGCTGTTGATGTTTAAACCTGTGTAGGTTTAAGTGGTAGATACGATAAAACTCACTGGGACTGTTTGAAACACTGTGTTGAAGAAGAAAGTTTGGTATTAGTGTAATTAAAGTAATCACAACAGCTATAGTTAATGCAAAGGTCAACCGTTCTCATGCAGTAGAAGTTAGTTATTTGACATCTTTACTTTGACTTTAAGTTAAGCCAAACAGCTATTTTCTCTTTATATGTAAATAGGAGTCAATAGAAGATTACCATCACAATGGTTAGAAATTTGTTAAACAGAAGGTTTTGATGTTGTTCCCATTTTGAGGAGAAATGGATCTCTGTGTAATGCAGGGATGCAAAATCTATCACAAGTAAACATTTCTTAAAATAAGTATGTTTGCCTTTAATCTGAGCAGGTAAATAAGATAGGCTGCCAGTAGAATTAGTGTTATTGCCCTTAAAATAAGATAATTGTATATATTATGCACTTGAAATACAACAAGGCAATTGTTTTTGTCTTCATTTAAATGTAAATTGTCCTATTCGATTGGCAAAGTGTTTAATTTACCAGCTTGAATGAAGAAAAAAGATGCAGTTATTTGAAGAAAAATTGATTCACTTAGATTTCATTTATTTGCAGTGAGAAAATTGTGAATTTCTGATAAAGCAATTTCTCAACATTTAAATCAGCTTAAAAAAAACAAACAACAATCAGTTTAAATCTATTCAAATTAAATGTTTTGTATTTTTATCATTTTTTTCCAGGTGCGATTAAACTGTAAAAGAGATACATTCATTTTTAGACTTTTCAACATTTTTTTAACAACAGGGGTGCCAATAAAAATAAAAAGCCCAACTAAAACAAGGTTTACATTTCAAAAGCTAAAGGTTTACTTTAATACTATCAGCTGGTTAAGAAAAGTTCAGGAACTGATTTACTGGACAGCCGGTAGCAACATGCTGTACAGTGGTAATAAAAACAGACGATTTCAGTAGTTTTTGATCGTTGGAAATAATCACACAGAGAGGCACATAGTTAGACTGAGCAGAGACATGCTGTAACTGGATGGCTCACTCTCTAGTTTGCGATGAATGATGCCATGAAAGTAGGGCTCTGATAGGTGGATGTCAGGCATGTTTAACGGCGGTGATCCCTCTCCTCTCGCAGACTCTCTGACCCCTGAGATGGAGAGTGACCGCAGCAGTGGAAGAACAGATGCTGAAAGGACAATACAAGGTACAGGGGCTCAGATGAGACAATAAATCTCTCTCCCTCACTTTTGCTCTCTTTTTTTTTCTCCTCTCTGCTTTTACCACCCCTCCTTCTCCTGCTGCACACACACAAACACACACAGCTCCACTTTATGAACATTAGTGTTTCTGTGCCTGCTGTTCAGACATACACCACCATCTGGGCCACAGCACTAGGTCAAGATCATCAGTTTTCCCTCAGAATAATATTATTCTTTCACTTTTCACTTTTAGTGGTGATGCTTAAAGGAGGCAGGTCTTTGTCAGGATAAATGCATTACAACAGGTAAAACCAAACAACTGTGCTAAAAAAGTTACATATTTACTGCTGGAGACGCTATAATGAGTCATAAAACCACAAAAAAGCAGAGCAACCCCTCCTTTGATACTCATAATCGGAGCAAATCAATCCGTTTTATGAACAAGCCTTGTACATTTTTAATGATTTGTTTGTTTGTTAGCCTTGGGGGTGCAGTTTGTGTTTAAGGGAAGGCCGCCATGGCGATAACCTCCGTTGGACCGCCTTCTATCTGTGTTTACCCAGATCCGAGACACCTCGCTAAAGGTTGAATATCCTCATTATTGCTGGAACGTCTCGCTTTAATGCGGCGCTCAGAAATGCCCTTATCAGTGAGGAAAGAGGTCCCAATTTACCCTGGGAAAGATGCTGCATGCAATTTGCTCCGAAAAATAAGGAGGGGGAGTTTCTGTCTTTGCATGCAGAGAATACGCTAGTTAACTCTTTAATATTTGATTAGTCTTCTAGAACTGATATAGAAAAATAAAGATGTATCGCTACTTATAATTTAGGACCTTTTCTAAGGTTTCTAATTGCCGTATTTTTTTTTTCTTTGAAGGCAAATGAGGCTCCGTCACATTTTATTTCCCCATTATCCTTTTTATTTTCCTTCTTCCTCTCATGTGACCACCTGCCTTCATCACATTCAGGTTTTTATCATTCCTTCCTTACTAACCTTTTCAACTTTTGGGTTATGTTGCTTCACTCTTCATTTCAAACTCTTACAAAGACCAATTAAATGCCTCAACCAATTAAAGCAGGCTGATATTCTTCTATTTGAATTATGTTTGTTTCTTTCTGTTAATTATGGTGCTTCCATGACTTTAGCTTTCATAGCTGCATGTATAAGCCGTAAGAGCCTCTAACGCCATATAGCAACAACTGCATAATCTAATATGACCATCACTCTTTGAAATTAATTTTCTTAATGCTTTTGACAGTTTGATTCTTATTAAACTTGCGGCTCTTATTAAACTTTATTTCTAAACCTTTACCCTAGCTGTTTGACACGTTTAGTAAAGACAAAATACCTTGTTAGCAGATTAAATTGATATTGTAGTTTGCGCAAAACTTTTGCAAAATCGGCTTTATGCACTAGAGTAAACCTTACACACATCCTAGGGTGTTTCATAGTTTCCAGGTCCAAATGAAAACAAAATTGAAATCTCTGCAGTTTAATACTGTTGTATTGAGAAAACAGTGTCCCTGTGCAGCAGGAATAGCAGCAGAAGAAGAAATAATAGCAGCGTTAAACATACAGGGAAGTAGGGTTGACCGAAGTATAAAAACTCAAAGGCTGCAACTGGATCCAATAGTTAGCACAGTGTTAAAAATAAATTCAAGTGTTGGTTGCATGTTCTTTCTTTTGTCAATTTTATATTTCTAGATTATTTGCATATAAAAAGAATTGTACCTCGAATAACCTTCAAATATTAAACCCCTATATTTGCTATCTATTTTGCATTTATTTGCACACTTATTTAACTAATAGAATCTGGGATTCTGTTCTTTGTTAAATGTTAGGGCTGAAAAAGATGAGTTTAATTATTTGGCTTTTTTATTCCCATTCTAGCATTCTGCAGGGATGACTTATTTTATTATTAAATGTATTCCTCTATAGTTTTTTGATATACAATTCTCACCAGTTGTCAGTATAAACCCAACACTAGAAAAAAATAAAATCAAAAACATTACACCATTAATTGAGTCATGTTTAATAAAGTGAAATTTTACAGGGAAGATGATTTAAACCCAGTTACTAAAAGTGATTAAATTCTAAATAAAAAAGCCAATGTTTGGTATAAGTTAGTCATTTCTGTGGAGAAACTAGTCTTGATGCTTTATTCAGGTTGGATCTGGATCATTCTTCAACATAAACTCTCATTCAATCTTAAGGTTTCTGCTGGTCTCTTCTATGCAGTTTTTCTGCTCTTTTCTAATACAGTATTTCCAGTAAAGTCAAATCTTATAGCAATTCTGGAAGTTTTATTTGTTTTTCTTTCTTTAATATTTGCTTTAAATTCATCCAAGTTAAAGCCTCACAGCTTCTGTAAAAATACAGGAGCCACTTTTTTAAGCCGGGGTAGCGACAACTTACATTTTTACACCTAAACTCGATAAAACAGTCATTGCTGTGACAACAGAGCATATAATTTTCCTGGGTCTCTCAATCACTCTGATCACTGCCTCAAAGAGTGGAATGAAACAGAATAAGGCGGCTGCTTTTTTTTGCGTTTTGTTCAATTAGAGAAGCATTTGTCTGCCACCCATGTCTCCTCTACTCTGCTCTGCAAGCCTCGCTGTATAATTAACCTCAAATGGCAAAAAATGATGTTGATAAATTACACAAGCAGAAAGAGGAGGAGGAGGAGAACTGGGGGGAGAGAAAAACAAGCCTATCACCGGCGCCGAAGCAGACAGAGAAATGTGTGGGTGCATTCTCGACTCCAAACTCGGGGAAGCGAACGCAGCCAGAGAAGGGGAGAAAAAAAATAATGAGGGCATAATTTTAGAGAACTAATTATTTCTATTTGTCTTTTGTCACACTTCTCTAATTCTGCGATATTAACACAGTCTGTGTTTATTAATTGCTTTTTGCAGTGTTTTGAATCAAGTCCAAGGAAGGGAGCGAAGCCCTTTTTGCAGGCAGGCAAGCTGCTGGGGGCCGCGCCTTGCCCTGGCGCTGCCTGGCAGCGGGCGACTATCTCCCCCCTCTATCACCCTCACCCCACCCTGCAGCCATCCCCACTCAACATGTTCGGCAGGGTTCATACGACCCTGCGCGCAGCCAGATAAAGTTCTTTGTTGCAACATTAAACATCAAAACAGTTAAAGTGAAATTAAAATTAAATGAATGAATGTCACTGAAGCAAAAAAGACTGTAATTAATGGATCCCTTAATTGTCTTCATAAAATATTTGCATGGGCATAATTTGCATAATTTACATGAATTAATTAATCTTTCAAAGGAATTTTATGCTGAGAGAAGCCAAAAATTCCCCTTGTTTTTTTTAGCACCTAATGAAATATTTATTCTCTTTAATGAACTTTTCATCTTGATTTTGAATGTGAAAATCCTGAAGTTTTGCCTCCTTTTAACGACTGCCTTCGAGTCGAGACGTCACCAGTCGAAAGCAGATGTTTCAACATTTCCGCTGACGCCGAATCAGCCTCCTCATAAACCCCCCCACCGTTCGTGGATTTGATCTATTAGAAGTCAAACGCTGCGATATTTGACATCTTCGCGACAATGGATTAAATGTCATCATCCATCAAATGATCAAATGGTCTTTGTTTTCATTAGCACCCCTCCTATAAATTGCTGCTGCAGCTGTGAAGCCGTGCAGAGGCAGGCGAGCCGAGCCAGTGAGGTGATGTTTCATCCTTTTGTGTCAAGTTGTGTGTCCTAGCCCACTTCTCCAACTCCCCTCCTCCCCTCCCTTACCTTTTGCGTTTCACCCTACATGCAGTCGCAATTCATGCTGTAATGACTTTTGCGCAGAACTCAGCGGTTGTTGCTTGAATAGAAGCAGCCCATAGTGCTATGCCTTTGAGACCTACGGCAGTGCTGGGTAATTAGCTTGTGTGTTTGTCTACAACACCCCCCACCCCCACCCATGAGTTGTGTACACATTCAGACACACACAACAAGCTTTTGTTGTCTCTGTCTGTGTGCAATACATAAAACCCATCCTGAAAGGTTAAGGAGGCCTAAATAACAGAAAAGAAAGAAGCTGCAGCCCAGATGTACCGTGCATCAAGACATTATAACCAGCTAGTCAAACACTCCCTCTGATGTCCCCCTCTGCTTGTGTCATGTCCAACAAGCAGAGCTGCTAAATGTCTTTGTAGGCCTCTCTCTTTAACGCTGAATAATTCAGGCCTGCTTGCCACAGAGACTCTTCTTAAAGGCATTAACTGTAAGCGTTCCTCGGCAGACAGAGGGGAGGGAAAAAAATGCAAAGGTAATAAACGTCAGACAGGCTCCGGAGCTGTTCCTAACAGATCTTTTTTTTACCGTCTGCTCGCTCAGGCTAACACCCAGGCATGAAAAGCGTCCGTCCACTTGGCAGTGACCGGAGCTCGTAACTCGTAGGAGATGTCTAGAGATAACCTGAGCCTTTTAAAGTATCCACACAGGAAATATCATTTTATAACTTAAGAGCAGGATTATGTTTTAAAGAGGCACAGCAGCTGGGCGGAAGGCCACAGATGCTCAAATGGTTTAGATTTGTTCATAACACAGCAGGTTACAACGTCTATCCTTGAACTTTTCCACATTTTGTCTCTTTGCATCCATAAAACCGCAATGCAATCCATTTGGGCTTTTATATTACAGACAGAGTAGTTTATACATACTATATAGACAAGAAGGAAAATAAAAACAGTTTTCAAAAATGAAAAAAAAAAAATCCTTACAGTCAAAAAGCAAATGAAAAATAATTGGAGTAAAACATTAGGCACAAGCATTTGGATATGTCAAAAAAAAAGGAAAACAATACTTTAGTCAAAAAGACAAAAGGAATTGCAAAGACGAGGCTGTCCATCCAAAACTAAACTGAAAGGTCAGGAAGAGAGAGCAATAAAAAGAGAAGGCTACAGTATAGAGAGTGCCTATGAGATCCACAAGTGGAAAAAATAACTTTACACACAAAAAAGTTGTACACTCCATAAATTTGGCCATTGGGAAGAGTGGTGAGAAAAAAACTCTTTTGTTGAGATAAAAGCCATAGAAAACCCTCTCTGGCAGTTTGTCACAAGTATGTTGAGGACACAAAAAAAAACATGTTGAACAAAGGCTTCTGGCCAAATGACACCACAGTTTAATATTTGGTTAAAATGGTGTGTTTGTAGCAAAAAACTGACCCTGGATGTAACCCTGGATACCCACAGTGAAATATGGCAGTGGTAGCATCAACATGTTGGGATGCCTGTTGTTTAACAGGGACATACCAGCTCAAAGATGTTGGGATGGGATTCTGGGTCAAACACAGAGCTACCCTGAAAGAAAAGGTGTCAGAGGCTGTAGGACCTAAATCTGGGCCAGAATTTGCCCTCCAGCAGGACAGCGATCCTAAAACTACAGACAAAGTTACTAAGGAACAGTTTAGATCTATACATATTTAACATGTTGGAATGTCCCAGTCAAAGCCCAGACATGAATCCAATTTAGTATCTAACAAGAGATGCGCCAAGCGGAGATGTGCTGCTGTACAGTAACTGTCTACGGACACATAAAATACAAGGACAACTGTGACTGATGGTTGGATTAACACCTCAAATATTTATGCAATAAACTTTTGAAATCATGCTTTATTTTCCCTTAAATTTAATTTAAGTTTAAGTTTAAACTTAAAAAAGCTTAAAAAATGCTAAAACTTGAGGCTAAGAGGGTCATTGTTAAAAATCCAGAATAAAGTCAACTTACTTTGGGTTTTCTAAATTTGTATTTATTGAAAACAGTAAAGTTAATCACTGTAGATGATATATATAATCACATTTTCCATGGTTTCTAGCTGTATCTTCTCTCTAAATCAGATTATCAATTCACAGTAATGCCGTTCAAATCCAAAGACTAGAGGGCAATATTTCAAAGTTGCGTTTCATCAACAATCACATCCTGAACAGCGCATTTGCGTCAGCAGATTGTTAGCTGTTGGCTAATCTTTTGCCTCTTCTCTGTGTCTGTGCGTGTGTGTGTTTTCTGCTCCAGATGGAAGACTGTTCCTGAAAACCGCAGTGATGTACTGATAAGGCCGCAAGGAGCTGGAGGACAGAAAGATTTTATAACAAAAAGTAAATAAAATGAAATAAAAGGACTGAAAGAGAAAAAAAAAAGAAACCATGAAGGTTCCGGGGAAGACCCTAACCCACGCCGATTTAGCTGAAGAGAGTTCAAGCTGCTCGTAGATGGTAATGCTGTGTTCATCCCCCCCACCCCCCAAACGCTGGAGGATTGTGAATGTACAACAAAGAAGTCTTTCTCACCACGGAAGGAAAAACCTAAAGTAGTCTGATAAAGCAGGTTTTGACAAGACGTGAAGGATAAACATATATAACCGAGCACAGTCAAAATGTACCCAAGGTGCATTGTTGGTAATAACTCCTGATAAGTTCACAGCACTGAAGATTTTTTTTTTTATATACTGTATCTCAGCCAGCGAGAAAGCTTTGAAATGAAAATTCGACTGAAGTTTTGCTTTTGTATTTCGAAATAAATCATGAGATGCTAAAAAAAAAAAAAAAAAAAAAAAAAAAAAAAAAAAA